CCTGCAAGCTACTTCCATTGCACACAGGTGCTCTTGGGCATAGGTATTTCACAGGCTCCTTGTCTCACAAGTGTCACAAAGACAGAGTATACGACAACCTAGCGTCACTCGTGGCACCTAGTGCTGCATGGACATTTTCAGAGCCAGGCTTGGACACACAAGGCATGTGTGTCCATCCTTGTTTGGGTTTGATACCTGTGGAACTGACACCTATGATACACACCTTCACCCTGCCCTACCCAACAGTGCCCCACACAGCAGATGCCTCTACTGCCTTGTGAGATCTGCCTGCTGTTCTTTTTCCAGAATCCCTTCCTCAAGGCTCCTTTTGTCTCCTGTTTCACTCTTATCCAGGCAGAAAATCCTGCCCCTCCCTTAAGTCAGGGCCAACCTCAGGCCCAAAGCTCAGAGACTGCAGATGCTTGGCTTCTCTTTGCTCCTGTCCCAGCTGGGTCTCACTGACTTGCTTTCTCTGGACCCTTCATGATCTTCCCAGGGAGATGCCAAACATGGTAGCATGTGCAAGTGAATTGTGTGTTTATGTTGTGTGTGTTATCAATCAGATCTCCCACTGCATTCAAAAGAAGAGGAGTCAGCTGACACCTCAGCTCATGGTAGAACTCCAGAACCTGCCAATTAACTTTGAACTCATCAATCTGTTGGCAACCTGCAGTCACTGGGACATTATGTGCTTGTGGTGGAGTCAGTGGGGAGCAAAGCTGACTGCCGGCCTCTAGTGTCTTTGAATACAGCTGGGCCACCCAGTGACATGTGAAACAATAGGCTTCCAGGTGGTTTTGCAGGGTGAGTGACCACAGTCCAGGTGTGAGGTCCTGTGAATGAGGGCTAGAGGGAGGGCCTGTGGGGGCAAAAGGCAGAAACCATGGAAAGACAGAAGCATGGTGTACCCCTATAGTGAGGTCAGTGCTCAATGTTTTGATAGGGTGAGATTTACAAATGTAGAAGTGCATAGCTTCGATGGAGGAGATGGAAGACATCTTGAACGAAAGATGATGCCCACTGTGAGGGCCCAAGATTACAGGGATGGGAGCTGGACCATTCACCTGGGGACTAGGGGCATGGAAGGGGTGTTTGTCCCTTAGTACCCAGAGGTGGACTTATACACAGTGCTGCAGGAAGAACAGGAGGAGAGGTGTGAAAGAATGGGCAGGCCTGGGTCCTTCTGATGGCTTTTCCTTTGTTCTGAATGACAGTAAAAGTATCCCTTAGAGAAACATCAGGGTCCTTTTAATGGCTGCTTGGTCCCCACATCAAAGGATTCTGTTGATCTTTGAACATGCGTAAATGTGGAATGCAAGATATTTAAGCAAAAATAAGCCAAGACTGGAGTTTCTGATTGACATGAGGATATTTATTGAGGGTTGTCGAGTGCAGGGAGAAAGGTTGACAAACTGGCATGGGTGAAAACCCTTTCCCTGGGTTCCCAAGCTCTAGGCTCCCTTGGTCAGGGTAGGGCCAGGGCCTAAGAACACTGTGCAGGGACCACTGTCTTCTCCACGGTGCTTCCTTCATGCATGACTTCGCAGCTGCATGTTCTGTGAGATCTCCACTGTTCAGGTGACAAGGTCAGGTAGCTGCTGGCCATGTACTTGTTGTTGCTCTGTTTGGAGGGCTTGGTGGTCTCCACGCCCTGAGTGACAGGGGAGCCGTCTACCTTCCACTTCACGGTCGCTGTTCCTGGGTAGAAGTCACTCATGAGACACGCTACTGTGGCTTTGTTGGTTTGGAGCTCCTCAGGGGATGGTGGGAACAGAGTGACTGAGGGCGAAGACTTGGGTTGACCTGTGGGGGTCAGGGAAGAACAGAATTCATTGTCTTGTTTTCCCCGTGGGGAGCTATCTCCTCTGTATGTGGCAAGGGGTCTGCCTCTCTATGCCAGTTCGAGTCTCTTCATATGGTTAATGTTTCTCTTGGACACTTGGTCAGGTGTTCATACAACCACTCTCTGTCAGTTCTAAGAACTCCGGAGCCTGCCTGCCCATGGCCTGTTTTGAATCTCTAGGCTTTGGCCTCCTGCTAGACAGCGAGACCTCAGCTGCCTCCTCATGCCTCCTCCTGACATCCTGATCTGTTCTATCTGGAGCTGTCTGTCTGTCCCTTGAGCTCTCTGCATCTCTTGTTAGATGCACTCTGGGGACTTTTCTTACCTAACACGTCTGCTGTGCATTCTCTGGGTCTAACTTCAGGGTTACATTTTTACTTAATTCTTTTTTCCCTGAAGCCTCTGCAGTAGGGCCTTTGATCATCTGTTTGAGTCTATCTGCCCATCTTGGTCTTTAGTTGTTGGTATGCATGTTAAGAGTCCCTCTGTCTATGGACTGATAGGTGGCATTTATGTCTTTGAGATTTTGGGATCATGGCTTGGGATCAGTAAACTCAGGGAATCCTGCTTCATGGGGTACATCCTGCAGAGACTCACTAACCCCTCTTCCTGAATTCTGTGTCCTTAGATGATTACTCTGCTGGCTCCCTTGTGTTCAGAACCTTCCTCTCATTCTTCTCTCCTGGCTGGGTTTCCTGAGTACAAGGCCAGCTCGGCAGCCCATGGAAACCCGGGCAAGCCCTTCCACCTCCTACCTTGTTTCTGTCCTGGATCCAAAGTCCCTCAGCCCAGGGGACATGGCCATGACCTGTGGTTCCCCAGCTGTGACACGGAAGGTTCAGGGTTCAATAAAGTCTCCCTAGTGTTCACTCCTTTAATTCCCTCGATCCCACTTCCCATAAGAACATGACTCAGTTTCCCTTCATAATGTGAACCAGGCAGACAAGACCCAGATGGGGAGTACCAGACAGAGCAATTTCTGGAGAGCCAATGACCCCCTTTCAGCCAGCCATTCATACATACATATATACAAACAAACAGTCAGAAAGACAGAGGGGCAGTCTCAGTAGTACAGCCTGTCCACTCTCGGTCTCTAGAGTCAAAGGTGAAGGGTTGTAGTGACCATCTGAGGCCAGTAGGTATTTGAACATGGTGGGGAGAGATTCTTGCACCAGGGTTTGAGGTCAGGGAGAATGATTGAGCACAGGCTTCACAAGATAGGAGAAAACAGCAAAAAGTAGAAAATTGACCCAAACCCTGGAGAAAGCAGGGAAGGAGGAGAAAGGTGACACTAACCTAGGACGGTCAACCTGTCCTCTTTTTAGAAGTTAATCATGGAATCTAGCTGTCCTAGGACATCTTTCTACCTGGAGAGGTTCCTGTCATTTTTCCTATCAGGAGTCTCTGCCTTCAGCATCTGCTTTGGAGGTCCTCCTCCTTGCTAGGATGCAGAGATGCCAACCTTTGTGCCTTAGAGCCCTGAGAGCCACACTGTGAAAAGTAACCAGCTTCTCCTGGGAGAGGGGTACACAGCACCCCGGAGTCACCTTATCACAGGACATTCTTCCTCCATCTCTGCCATTCTCCCATTTCTTCTTCCATCTCCCCATGTCTGCAGTCAAAGGCCTCTCCTCACAATGTGTAGAGCCTCCCCATAGCTTGACTCCACAGAGGAAAGAGCCCAGGAAGGCTGAGCTGTCCCCAGCATCATTCTCAAATCCAGGTTCCTGGTGCCTCCACCCCAGCTCCCTGTTCCACTGGTCCCAGGGAGCCCAGAGACTCTGAGTGAGGGAGTAGAACATCCTAATAGTCCAAAGGAGAAGGTCTGAGAGAGAGAGATAGAGAGAGAGAGAGAGAGAGAGAGAGAGAGAGAGAGAGAGAGAGAGAGAGAGAGAGAGTTCCCGTTTGGGTAGGCTGGAGGGGTGAGGGTTGCCGACTCCTGAGAGATCCAGGCCCTTGCCCTAAAGGAAAGGAAAAAATCCTTTTCCCAAAATTTCACCCTGAATCCCCAATGAAGATAGAAAGGGAAGACTCACCAAGAACGGTCACTTGGGTGCCACCGCCGAAGATAGCACACCATGATTCAGTCCCATACAAAAACCCTCCTGACATCACACCAAGTCCCCCCACAGCTGCTTGTGAAGCCCAGGGTTCAGCCTCCTATTCACATGGTCTAGTGGAATCAAGGGTGGTTGAATGGGCACCTCCCAATACCAGACAATCTTTTTCCAGGGTTTAGACATGAATTTATCCCCATCATGATTAAGGTTGAGAGGTGTGTAGAATCTTTTCCAAACCCACTGCATTCCTGGGAGGGTGCTGCATGGCCTAGGTCAGCTGGTGCCCCAGTACAACGGAGAAAGGTGTAAGAGATGTTAAAACACAGAGATGATAAAGTTGGGACCTATTTGGGAGCGGGGAACTGTGTGGAGGGTCCTGGATGCCCTCATATAATCCGTTGGAAGTCATGACAGGAAGGGTTTGGAATAGGAATCGTGGGACGTGGGGAGCGTTACATTGACCCAGGGATACTGATGCCAGTGAAAGTTCTGAGTTTGAGTACCCTATGGTAAGTTCCACTGTCCTGAAGATACATTGTATGATCACCACTGATGTTCCCCTCCAGAGCCCACAAAGCAGCAACAACACTGGAGAATGGGTGTGCTGAATTAGTGTTGCAATGGCCCGCATGGAGCTCCTTATGTTGTAGGAGGGTATGTGGATTCCATTGCTGTACAGGTTCTTCGAGGAACTCTTCGAGTAAAGAGGTGTTTCTGTTCCCCCAAGCTCCTTCTGTTACAAACAGGCACTTATGTCCATGGGTGCGCCACTGCCTTCTATGTTGACAAGTGCCACCAAGATTAAGCCCACAATAGCCCAGGGTCACACATGCCATCTTATGCTGGATGGACTTGTTCAGAGAAATCCCTGGTGTCCATCCTAGTCTGGGCTCATGACCTACAGAGCTCACACCGGTGACACACACCTGCCACCCTGCCTTGCAACAGTGTGACCCAAAGGAGGTGCCTCCATTAACCTCTGAGATCTCCCTGTTGTTTGTTTTCCAGAATACCTCTCTCAAGGCTTCTCTTGTCTCCTGTCTCACTCTTGGCCAGGACAAATAATCCTCCCCTCCTCCATATCAGGCCCAGCCCCACAGGCTCAAATCTCAGGGACTGCAGATCCCTAGTTTCGCTTGGCTCATGTCCAAACCTGAATCTCACTGCAGTGCCTTCCACCTGAGCCTTTTCTGATCCTCCCAGAAAGATTGCCAACCTATATGGACATGCGCACAGGCAATTTGTGTGTGTATGTTTGTTAAAAATCATATCCCCCACCGCATTCTTAAGAGGAGTCAGCTGACACCCACGGTCGATCTCCAGAGCTTGTCACTGCCTTTGAACAAATCAGCATTTGACAACTAGTGACCACCAGGAGTTAGGCTCTTGTGGTGAAATCAATGGAGAGCAGAGCTGATTGCTGTCCACCAGTGTTTTTGAATACACCTAGTCCACTTAGTGATGTGTATAGCAATAGGCTCTGAGGGCGTTTTATGGACTGAGTGATCAGGTTGCAGGTGTGAGTTTCAGTCATTGAGAACCACAAGGAGGGCCTGTGGGGGCAGAGGTCAGGGGTCATGGGGAGACAGGAACAGGGTAGGGCCCTATTGAAAGGGCAAAACTCTAGATTTTGACGGGGAAAGATTTATTAGTGTAGAAGTATATGTAGCCTTGGAGGGGGAGATGGAAGGACGTCTTGAAAGAAGCAATATGTCCACTGTGAGTGCTCAGGATAACTGAGAAGAAAGCTCAGACATTATCCTCGGGCCATGGGGATGGAAGGAGTGCTTGTCCCCCTGTAGCCAAAGGAGGACTTGTACACAGTGTATCAGGAAGCACAGGGTGAAGTGGGAAAGAATGGGCAGGACTGGGTACTTCTGAGGGTTTTTCCCTGGAAACATTCTCTGGAACACTCAGTGGGGGAAGGACGACAGAAAATATCCCTCAGAGAAACATCAGGGTAGTTTTCCTGGTTGCTTTGGCAGTAGATCAAAGGGTTCCTTTCACTTTTGAGGATGGTTAAGTAGAATAGAAAGTGTGTAAGCAAAAATGAACAAAGACTGGAATTTCTGATTGACAATGAGGATATTTATGAGGTTGTATTGGGCGCAGGGAGAAGGGTTGATGATTTGGCAAGGGGGACCCCTTCCCTTGGGCTGACAAGCTCTGAGATTCCATGGGTTGGCGAAGGGCCAGGGCCAAAGAACACTGTGCAGGGAAAACTTTCTTCTCTACGGTGCTCCCATTGTGTGTGACCTGGTAGCTGTGGTTGCAGCTAGTTTTCCTCAGGTCACAGTCATGGTCAGGTCCCTGCTGGCTGCGTACTTGTTGTTGCTCTGTTTGACGACTGGGTGGTCTCCACGCACCGACCGATGTAGGTGCTATCTACCTTACATGTCACAGACACAGTTCCCAGAAGAAGTCACTCATGAGAAACACCAGTGCGGTCTTGTTGGTTTGAATCTTCTAAGATGATGTTGTTAACACAGTGAAAGAGGGGTTTGCCTTGGGGCTGACCAGTGCAATTGGGCAGGCAGGAGTTTAATGACTAGTGTCCACCTGGGCCTCCTGACCTCAGTGTTGAGATGGGTACAGCCCAGGTCAGGAACCTCTTTCTGGGCCTTGTTACAGGAGGATGGGGATACTAACCTTCTGATATAATATGCCAGAGGACCCAAGGATGGAGGAAAGTCAGGTCTCTTTTGGCTGGAGCTTCTCCTACAGGTTCTCACCTTCTCTTTACCCACCTTGTTCTCCTGACACTGGCCGGTCTATGCCCTGGAACCCAAATTTCCTCAAGGAACTTCTCTGTCTGATTATCTCCTTTGGGGGACACTCCTGTGGGTCTGTCCAGAAAGTTGTCTGTCTGTTCTGTCTTTAGAATTTCCTCTCTTTTGGGATTGGACTTGTTGCCTATCTGTGCCCTGGTACCACCACTGCATATCCCACACTGTCTATCCAAGGGACCCCTTCTGGGCAGCAGTGTAATCCTGGGTCCTGTTTCTGGGGAGTCCGGGAAATTGATAGCTTCCACGTGTGAAATATTTTGTGTTTAGAGCCTGGACTTGTGCTCATTCCCAGTTGTCTTCTTATCATAAGTTATACCATAAATCTAGTTATCCTAGGACATCTTTCTGCCTGGAGAGGTCCCTCTCATCTATGCCTGTCAGGAGTTACTTTTCTCAGCATCTGCAGTTGTATCCCTCCTTTTAGTTGGGATGTGAATGTGCCTATTTTTGTGCATGAAAGTCCAGAGACCCACACTTTCAAAGGCTACCTGCCTGTCCTGGGGATAGGGAGGGACTAAGGTCCTGGGGTCACCTTTTGCAGGACATTCTTCCTTCATCTCTGTCACTCTCATGTCTCTAGTCAAAGGCTTCCCCTCATGCTGTGGAAAGCCACCCCATAGCTGTGACCCACAGAGTACTGAACCACGGATGCTTAGCTCTTTCCAGCATCCTCCCCAAGTTTGTGGCTCTGCCCCTGTTTGGTTGGTTCCTCAACTCCTGTAGACTCTGAGGGAAGGTGTAAAGCATCCCAGAGTCCAGAGGAGAATGTTACCCAGAAAGAGTGAGAGAGTGGGCTTCCCTGTGCCAGGAGTAGGAAAGAGTCACTGGGAATTTCTTCTCCTGTCCTGACAAAATGTGTGAAAAGATGAGACAGGTTAGTGTTAGGGTTGTAGATCCCAGAGAAATTCAGACCCTTGCCCAAGACGGAACAGAAAAGAGAAAAACATTTTCCCTAAGTTTCACCATGAACGCAAAAAGAAAGAATGATGAGCCTCACCAAGGACGATCACCCTCGTGCCTCTGCTGGACACTTAAAAGCATGACTCAGACCCAAACATAAATCTTCCTGACAGGACATCCCACCCTGTCCCTCTGCAGTTGCCTGGGAAGACCAGTATCCAGCCTCCTTTTCACATGGGCTTGTGGAATCAGGGGTGTTTGAAAGGGTAGTCTCTCATAGACTTGGCCATCTCTTCCTTCAGGACATAGAAATCCATTCACTGCCATAACAGGAGCAGTTGAGAGATCTGTGTGGAATCCGTTTTCTAGCTTCCTGCGTTCCTGGGAGGGGATGGGCTGGATTGGGTCAGCTGGTGTCTGGTTGCCACAGAAGAGGGGATGAGACAAGTTATAACACTGGAATCATGAAGCCGGGAAGGCTTTGAGGAGCTGGGAACTATGAAGAAGGTCCTGGATGTCCCCATATCCTCTACACTGGAGGTCGTGACAGGATGGGGTTGGATTGGGAATTATGGGGGTACGAGGAGGTTGCATTGACCCCACAGACATAGTTCCCAGTAAAAGATCTGAAACTGAGCGGTCTCATCCTAAGTGTGACTGACCTGAAGATGCAGTATATGGTTACTGCTCATGTTCCCCTCCAGAGCCCATGGAGCAGCAGAGCCCATGCAGGCTGGGCGTGCTGGATTATTGTCCACAGGGAACTTCTTATGGTGGGCGGAGATGTCTCGGGTACCACTGTCAGCACATTTAGCTCCATAAAATCTACTAATGTTTGTTTATGTGTTTAGGTTGCTGCCCACCCTGCAAGCTACTTCCATTGCACACAGGTGCTCTTGGGCATAGGTATTTCACAGGCTCCTTGTCTCACAAGTGTCACAAAGACAGAGTATACGACAACCTAGCGTCACTCGTGGCACCTAGTGCTGCATGGACATTTTCAGAACCAGGCTTGGACACACAAGGCATGTGTGTCCATCCTTGTTTGGGTTTGATACCTGTGGAACTGACACCTATGATACACACCTTCACCCTGCCCTACCCAACAGTGCCCCACACAGCAGATGCCTCTACTG